AGTAAAAGTGCTGCGAACAGACATTAGTAATTTTTTTGGCTGGATGTTACCTACAAATTTAATTTATTTTTCTTTAATAAAAAAGTTATACAAATCCGACCCACGGACTATAACTTAATTAAAAGTTACTTTTTTGTTTATAATTAAAATGCATGCTTAAATTATTCGTATACTTTGAATGAAAAAAATGAGGTACCAGGTTCAGCACTAGTTAGCTTACCGCAAACCTTACAGGGAATGTGGAGTTTAGCTTTCCAATGTTCAAAACACCAGGCTGACGGCAGGTCGCCCACAGATTACTCTAGTCATAGTAATAAGGCGGGTTAAACATAAAAAAATCCTCAAATTTATTTGCTTAAGTAATATAAATTAAAATTCTACCAACATTAACATTTAAGGGAAACCTAAATTTTATAAAATAAATTTTTTTTGTTCAAGTGAACAACTTGCCACGGTTTGGATATAGAGGTTGTAGATTTTGAGATGTAATATTTCTATGTTTCCAATTGAATAGCCACGCAAATTTGTTTTTTCAAATTACAGAGTCACGTCACAGAGTCACAGATTCATCGTGGAAATATTATTATACTTACAATTACAATGCCCATCGCAAGTTTTGCAAAATCTCAAAACCATCAACTTCATCTACATGCGTACATTTCGTTCACCTGTAAATAAAAAGAAAAATTGGCGGCTAGTTACTCTGACTCTATGACTCTGTGACTCTTTGACTCTTTGATAAACTTACTCTTTTCATAAGATATGCTTTTTTTTTTTTAAAAAAAAAAAAGCGACATGTGTATCTATCAATTCGGAGCAAATCGTAAATATTTTACGTACAAGATCTATTTTTTTCCTCAAGTTTCTATTTCTATTACTCATTGCGAAATAAACCAAAAATATGACTAAGCCAACTCATACCCAACACTAGGACCCCGAAATATATATATGGAGGTCAAGTGGAGCCATTTTACTATTAGATGTACGCAAAATTACAGGGCCGGAATTATGATAATGTCAGTCAGTTGCTATAATAAATAATAAAATCCTGACCGGCATTATCAAATTTGTCTATAAAAGGAAAGATTTATATGATTTTTTTGGCTAATTCTAGGTAAACGTAAACTCTTCAAAGTTATTATTTAATATTGTATGTAATTTAATCGAAGGAATTTTGTACTACTTTAAATAAAAAATATCATAAAATATAACGTAATGTCCCCTGTTTTACTAATTGTTCGCCCGTGATACTGGTCATAGATATTTTTACTATCCGGGAAAATATCAATATTTCGTCATCTGAAAATCGTATTGATAATTTTATAACAATGAATTAATTTTACATTCAAACATATTAAATTTATTTATTCATTCAAAATTAATAAATAATTGAATTTTTAGAATATAATTTACTAATAGACTAATGTAATACTATTCATGGTTAAAAAATGCCTATTTAAAAACATCAGACGTAAATAATGATTTATTTATAATTTGAGAAATTGTAATGGATGTCATATTATAATTTCGAATTAGTTGCATTGATCCATTAATTTCTTGTTTTTTTTTTTTTTGAATTTTGAAACCTTGTTGTAAGTTTGTAGATAATTTGGTATATTATATCGATGTATTTTTCATAGCTTTTCTGTATTATGTTATTTTTATAAAATAAAATTTTTTTTAAATTTCTAAATTTTTAGATGTTTTAGATGTTAAATATGGATTATAGATTATTTAGAAGCTTAGGGCAAGATTAAATTGTGTAATTTTTTTAATTTTTTATAGTGAAGGAAAAAATAAAATGATTACTAAGAAAAGTTTATTTCATTATCACGGACGTTAGTGAACCACATGAATCATAATATATATATTCTAAAAATCAATGATATGATCATTTTCATTTTAAAATGATTTGAAAGACTTCATAGTCATCAATTTCAAAATTTCTTGGAATATTAAGGTTTTGATAAGAATTTGATACAGAACTCCATTTACCATTTTTTACTATTATATCATTACTACCACCTGTGTTAGAACCAAAAAGAGGTCCATGAGAATCAAAACAACGTATCGCATCTTTTGTTTTCATTACCCTACCTATTTTACCTGTATCAATATCTTTATAATTTTCAAATAAAAATATATAACTATCTGTTGTAGCTTTAGAAATATTTCCACTCCAATCAAGTGGATTATAACCTCCAACCATCTGATTCGTATCTTTAATTTTTGCGATAATGATGGTTGCATCTTTGTAATCACATTTTGTATGAAATGAGGTAGCATCAAATCCATCCTTACTTCCACGCAAAATAAGATTAAATTCATACGGATTTTTTTGAATATTATAAACTTCAACTTTTCTATTTATCCAACTTGCAAATAATGCAAGATGTCTTGCATTTACAATAACAGAATCAAAATTGCCAAATCTAGAGGGTAATGAGCCTATTTGTTTTATATCTGAAACTAAGTAAAATTGCATGATTTCATACTTTAGTTTTTTTGGCAACAAACTTTTATAAGGTAATACCTCCTCAAAATATTCTTTTCCAGTGATATCATGAAATCGAATTAGTGGAATAAATCTTGATATTATTTCTTTAATTAAAATAAAATCTTCTTTTGTCAATTCAACAACATCATTAAAAATCGCAGGATGCTGTTTATGTGTCCATTTAATCAAATTATTCCATACTTTAATTTCGTTTAACTCAAGAAATTCTAGTAAGAGCAATGATTCCAATATATGTGCTGGTAATTCTGTTATCTTGTCAGTTTTAAATATGAGAGTCGGTTGCTGACAAATGGTTTCTAAACTATGAACTTTCAATTCTAAAAAGGTTTCATGTCGAAAAAGAATTACAAGATTCCAACAGGATCAATTTGCAATAATTCTTTTGTGTTTTTAATGATAAAGACTTGAATATATTCGGCAAGTGTAATCAGACCAAATTCTTTGGCAGCAAGTAATAATTTTAAAACATCTGATTCATCCTCAACACTTAGATCTATTTGTCCACAATATAAATATCTATTATTGTAATTTAATTTATCATCATTATTTTATTTTTCTTTATTATAAAATTTTTTACTCGAAAATGAATATAAAAACTTTAATAAAATATTGTTTCTTACCTGAGAATGATTTTAAAAATATGAGGATGAATATTTGGTTTCTTAAAAATATATTTTCCATCCTTCTTTTCTTCCCAATTTTTAGAAAATGCAGCTCGAAAATAATTTGATTGATAACAAAGAACAACGGAATATGCATAAATTGCTTGAGTTGGTTCTTCACCAGCATGTATAATCACATCATAATTATCCTTGGTTTTAAAAAGTTGTTCAAAGTTTGTTAATACTTCCAAATATAATGTCGACGACTCCATTTTATGTAAGAGGGAGAATGTTTATCTCGATCACGGACTTATTAATAATTTGTGTGATATTTTTTTAAAGGGTGACTGTGCATAGCAGATTGTTTTAATCTGCTCATTTTTATACTGTATTGTAAACAATTTGTATTATTTACATATTGTGATGGATTATGTGATCCTTGAATTCTAATATGTAATGGAGTTTCTGAATTTAACCATGACCGTCCCAAATAAGGAGAACGGTTACACAATTTAATAAATTTTTTTTTATAACTTTAGAGTACTTTTTGATGATCTTTGCGCAACCTATCTCCGCCATTAAACGTGATTTTAAATGCATTAAGCAAACCTCAATTTCAGTCACAACATAGGTCCTGGTCTTAGACCGGTTAATGGGACCGGTCCTTGCGTTTCTCGATCCATATTCTGAGGACCGGTCCTTTATTATTTATTGTATCAACAAACAGTTGCATATTTATAAAAACAATAATTTGTACATTAATTATTATTTGTTTTATACAAAATCCTTTAAGCACACTTTTATACATGCGGTTTTATAAGATTTATCTTAATAATATAAAATATTTAAGTTTAAAACTATTTTATTCTAACGAACTAAAAATTAATTTCAGATAAATATTAGGATCATAACAAGCTATAATTTGTACAAAATTTCAAGTTTCGAATATATTGATTTCTTATAAATTTATCTTAAAGCTCATAAATTTAGTTTATGCGTTTAGGTCCTTTCCAACATTTTGATTTTAGATATTTTAAATAAATAATTTATAAAGATATATAATTAATTTTATGAGATATTTTTCTTTAAATATTGGTTCTGCAATTTCCATGAATTGACTTTCAAATAGTTTGAAAACGGTAAGTTTGTGTACCAATACGCATATGTAACAATATATTGAATAGACTTATTCATGCTTATTTATACTTGATACACAAATTACCGTTATTAGTGAATTTCTTCGGTAAAATAATATTAAAATACGGTTCGAAGAATCGATACAAAGCACGAACATTTTATCATAAATAACAACTAGTGATATTATTTTTTGTCTTTTTTTTTTTTTTTATACTTACAAAATAAGTGCAAATAAAATATCGATCTAATTTTTGATGGAGAAAATTTCTGTAGTAAAAAAAGTATTTACAAGTCAAATATTTTTGATGCTTCAAATTATCATTCATAATTTAAAATATAAAATACAATATATCGCTTTGAATTCCTTTTGGAAAGATTTTTGATGCAAATACTGCGCTCGTATTCCTACATAATTTCAAAAACAAGTACACTATTTAAAATTACCATAAATGGCTATATTGGGTATTAGCCTCAAACTCTCAATAATAATTAATGCATGTAAAATTATGATTGAGTTTTGGAATTTTCACTTATTCATTTTTTTTTTTTTTTTTTTTTTTAAAAAAAAAAGGAATTACGTAAATGAATCAAAAAAATTTAATTTAAAAGTTATGAGTGCCTTTGATCATTCGGAGAACATTCACAGACACTTACATATTTATCTTCGATACTTATCAGTTCAATACGCGAAAGATAAATCTTCCAAAGTCATTACACTTCCTTTTGATTAAAGTAACTTCGCAATGGCTTCAACAATTCGACGAAGAAATAATATTTGTTACATCCCAAAGCAGTAAATAATTAATAATTTTCCATTTAAAAATTATTCGAATTGAATTAATTGAAATTTTGAATTTTTTGAAGTAATTTAATATCGGTTAGTCAATCTAAAATTACCTACATGCAAGGCTGGCATAAATTAAGCCGAAACAAGAAATCCACAATAAAAGTCGAAATAATTATTTACTTTAATTTTGAATTCCCATTTTCGATTGTTTACTATTATTTTAAAATATATATGAAGTCTCAAAAATTTTTACTCAACAAATCAATCCGTTCAAAAAAAAAAAAAAAGAATAAAACAAAAACAAAGACAAAAAACAAAAATGATTAAATATATCTTTCTTGCAATTTTCTTCGGTTTATGGTATTATTTTACCAAAAAACCTTCGATTCCTAAAGGACTTCAACCTCTTCCTTCACCTAGTGGGGCTTTATTTTATCTAGGTAGGTAGAATTTTTCAGAAATGTAATGCATTGAATTGAAAGAAGTTTAATATTTGGAAAATATTTTTTATATGTACAGGTCATAGCTATTTACTTTGATCCAAACCACACGAGACGTTAACAAAATGGGCTAGAGAACTAAAAACTGACATTTACTCATTAAAGATAGGCGTATTAAATTTCGTTATTTTAAATAGTGATAAGGTTATTGGAGAATTAATTCAAAAACGTAAGTCTTAACCTTAAAAAGTCATGTGATAGTGTGATAGACATCACCTAATAATTTTTTATTTACTTAGGAGGAGCAATTTATTCATCTAGACTTGATTCTCATGTTTACTTTCGTACTATTACAAGAGGAGCTGCTATTGGGCTTTCTCCGTATAATGATTATTATAAGAAAGCTAAAGCGATAAGCAAGCAGTTATAAAATAATTTGAAAACTTCGTGTTTATTTCCGGTAATTGATAAACCTTTTTTTTTTTTTTTAATCGAAAACAATAGGTGTTGGAATCCTTTCGCTGCAAAAAACCGAATCTTACAGTCCATTAATCGATGAAATTACAAAAGAAATGCTTTTAGATATGATCCACACCTCCACTTCTTTATCAAATCCTGAACCATTATATCCTCGTTCATACCTTCATCGTGCAACTTTAAATATAATTTTGGAAGTAACTTTCGGAATTCGTACTAATAGTATTAATGATCCACTATTCAAACGATTAGACAAATGGGTAGAAGATTTTACGTTAATCTTTTCAAGTGAAGATAGGAGATCGGAATATTTCCCAATAGTAAAATATTTTCCAAACAATAAAACGATGCAGGTACTTATTCACACTTTTAATTTATTTTTGTTTTTTTTTCTTTTTTTCTTAAAGATAACAATTGCTATATTAATTTACAGAAAGCGAAAGCTATTAGAGATGATATTGATACAATTTTTGGTGAACTCTTGGAAGACGTTAAATCAGGAAAAAATCAATCTCCGTGTACTGAGAGAGAAGTTTATGAACAAGGAGAATTAGAGGATTATCAAATTGCTCATCTTTTAGCGAGTCTCGTTTTTGCTGGAACGGTAGTCTAAATGTTCTTTTCCTTTTCCTTTTTTTTTTTTTAAAAAAAAAATAAATTATTTAAAATATTTATTTTTTTTGTATTTTAGGATACAGTAGCATCAAGTATAACATGGTTATTAGCGTTCTTGGCCAATAATCCTTCGTTCCAAGAACCAGCTCATAATGAACTTGACACTCTCATTCCTAAACATGATCGACTCCCAACTTATTCTGATTTTAAAAATCTTCCCTACACTCATGCGTTAATTAGGGAAGGTCAAAGAGTTTATCCACCAACATGGTTGGGAGTTCATCATTATAATGAACAAGATGATGAATATAACGGTTATCATATTCCAGCAAACTCTTTAGTGTTTATAAATTCTCACGCAATTTCATTCAATGAACAACGTTATAAAAATGCCAAGGAATTCGATCCGTATAGATTTATTAATTATGAACAAAGTATGGCTAGTTTGGCTAATGGACCTGCTGAAAAAAGAGATCATTTTGTTTTTGGAGCCGGGAGAAGGCTTTGTACGGGAGTTTATTTGGTAAATAGTTTGTAGTAATTGTAAATACTTTAATACAGTATTCCAATGTAATTAATTTAAATTATAATTTTTTTCCCTTTAGGCTGAAGCCGAATTATTTGTTATTTTGGCACGTATTCTTTATTGCTTTAAAGTTGAAAAAAATGCTTCACCTACTGGTGAAGATGGAAAACCTATTCCAATGAATTTGGACAAGCCTATAATTGGTTTAACCATTTGCCAGAAGATTATAATGTTAAACTTGTTCCTAGAAATGATCGAATCATGCAACTTTTAAATGAATGAATTCACGTATGCGAAGTTTTTCCTTAAAAGTTTTCATTATATAGTTTTTTTTTTTGCGTCATAAAATCATTATTGCAAATCACATTTGCTTTTTTCCAGTTAATTTTTTATATATTTTTACATTTCTCTCAATAAAATATCGAAAAAAGGCTTGTCCTTACTACGAACAAAAATGATTAGTCGACTCTTCATGAAATACAAAGAATTTTAAAATTTTGACCAAAATTTATGCTTGGATGGTTTATGATTATAAAAAAATAAAATTATCTTTTATGTTTCACAAATTAAAATCGCGTAAATTTTTATATACTCAATGAAAAGGTGAATTTCATGAGTGTATAGGGAGATTTTGAAATCTAAATTCACTTGAATTTTTGATATACGTAATATAATGGAACTCTCGATTGCTTTTCTTTAGATATCCCGTCAAAAGAAGAAATTAATTCAAAACGAATTATATGGGAGGTTTGCTATTAAAATCGAGTTACGAACATATGATTCGTAGCTAACTTTTTGTATCACAAATTTAATTAATCTTAATTTTATTAAATAATTTTTTTATTTTTTGAAGAGGAAAAATAACTGATTTAGTCAGAAAATAATATATAAATACTTTTTTAAAATGATTATTTTTACTTTTAGAAGCAATGAAATATGTTAAATGTGTTAGATGTTGTAAATATGTAAAAGGGTTTATTCAGTTTCTGAATTTACAAGTAAACCATAATGGCTTCACTTCCAATCGGCTTTATAACACGATGATTTCCATAATTAGTCAACATTCCGCTTAATATAGGTTTTGACCAATTCAAGTAAATTGTATATATTAAAAAACTTGACATTAATGAAATTATAAATGAAAGATTATTCATGAAATGAGCAACTTATTAGGTTGGTATGTTGCGAAATAAATTTTTTTTTTCGTTATTTATATTTTTCTTTAAGAAAAAGGTATATTTCTTGTATTGACTAAAAAATTTTTTTCTTTTTGATGTTTGATACTTGTTCACCTTTATATATAAAGTATAGTCGCACCACTATGTATCATATGTTGCGATTTCTACTACGAACATTCCATTTAGGGGAAATATTGAAAAAATATATATATATATACAAGAACCATGTTCCATTATATCCTTCTCTATGGAAATCTAGAATTTTTAGACGTCATAAACTGTATAATATTTATGTTGATTTTCGATTTCCATCATTAGTAGACTTTTTCGTTTTTTCATTCGTTTGTTTTGTAATTTTCAGAATAGAATTCATTCAAAAATGAGTAAGATTTAACAAATAAATGGAATCACCTTTATTTATTATCGGAATCACGTGATCTTTGAAATTAGGTTCAGTCGTAAAATTTAGATTCGCCTCTTTGTCATATCATACTTTTCCTTCCTTTTTTTTTTTTTATATTTCTTCACTTGTATTCCATATATTAAAACTTTTTTATAAAATATTCAAACGAATATTGGAATCATTGTCTCTTTTGAGATTTAAGTCTTCTTTCGGAGTTTCTTTTTATTATTATTATTATTAATTTTAGAAACGTTCTTTGTTCGAATATGGGTTTTTGGATATCGTGATTTTATCTATTTGTAAATGAATGTTCAAATATTCTATTTTAAAATGAACCTCAATTTTTGTGCTCTTTAAAAAAAAAAGATCATGCACATAAATTTTTTAAAACTTTAAAAAATATTCGTGGTACGAAATAAAGTTACTCAGATGTAAATAAATTAAATTTTAAAATTTGCCTTATTAAAGTACCTTTGTTAATAATATTTTTTTTTTCCGTTATTACAAAAGTGCCAGATGTCTCATTTTTAAAAGTTATCACGCTTTCGTTAACTTTGCTTTATTAATCTTATTAATTTAAGTAATGCTCAACATTTAAGGTTTTAAATATTTTTCGAAAATTCAGGCAAACAATATGATCGGCATTTGACATTATCAATCTCAGTTTGTCGAGGTAGTATTTACAGTTGAATGGTTGGTTAAACCCTAATATTCGGAATATACCGTACCGTATATATATAAATAATGTTGTTTCTTAATTAAAATTTTAAAATTTATCTTTTTTCAATTGTATTTAATAATAATGTCTTTTACTTCAGTTGAGGGAAAAGTTGCCTTCGTTTCCGGTAATTTACAAAATAATTTACAATTATCTGATTAGAAAACTGAGTTCTTATATTAAATTTTTTTTTTTAAAAAAAAAAAAAAAAAAAAAAAAAAAAACAAAAATAGGAGCAGCCTCTGGAATTGGTGAAGCTGTGGTAACTCGCCTAGTTAAAGAAGGGTAAGAGATTTACAATTAATTTTATAAATGGTAATAAATCCCTTACTAACTAAATTTACCTAAAGTGCGAAAGTCACCGTCGCTGATATTCAAGATGAACTCGGTAAAAAGCTTGTCGAAGAACTCAATTCCGGGTAAGTGTATTCGTTACACAAATTAATTTCAATTGTCACTTTCCACTTTTGTTTAGATTACATTTGTATCATTGTGATAAATAGAAAAACCGAGACAGTTGCCATTTATGAACACGTCGATGTAACAAATTGGAATGAATATTTGGCTGCATTCAAAAAAACCGTACAAGTATACGGTCGTGTCGATGTATAATCACTTTCTTTGTATATTTATTTATTTATTTATTTTTTTTATATAACATTAACGATGTTTATAATCCATTTTATTTTATCTTTCATTTTAGATAATTGTGAACAATGCCGGTATATTTGCAGAAGGTGATTGCTTGTTTGATGATTCAGACGAACGTACGTAAAAATTAGTTGAAAGTTTTTAAATGAAAGCACTTTTTAATCATCACCACTTTTGATTTTCTAGCCCCAAATGCGTTAAAAATGATCGACGTAAACTTAAAAGGTGTTCTTAATGGAACAAAACTCGGAATTCGATTTTTGAAGCAAAATGGAAAAGATGGTGGAGTTATTGTTAATACTTCTTCAATTGCCGGCCTCTTCAATTCGCCTCTTGTTCCAATCTATTCCGCTTCAAAATTTGGTGTGGTTGGTTTATCGATTTCCGTTGCAATAACTGTAACTGTACATAATATTCGCATAAATGTGATCGCACCATCAGCAGTAGGTAAGATGAATCTAGGAAACCATTTTTTTTTTTTTTTCTGAGGGAAAAAAATTTTTACTTTTTTATTTTTTTTTTTAGATACGCCAATGATGAAATCTGTGATTCATACAATTCCCGACGATCATAAAGTAGAAATGCGCAAAGTTGTTGATGCATTCATCAAACTTTTCACCAATCCAGCTTATAATGGTAAATCACCGTTTACATTCTTTCTACTAATGAATTGTCTTAATATTTTTCTATTATCTTTATAGGTGAAATTATCGCTTTATATCCAGGAGGTGTGTCTGCCTTTGTTGAAAAATCAATTTATGAATTACCTACAAAACTTAATGAAGGCATGAAACAAGTTATAAATAAATATGGTGATGACTTTAGGAAATCAAATAAACAAACAGATGAAGCTTCGTAAATTCATTATACTGTATATCTGTAAATTACATTAATTTTAAGCGAGATTTTGATAAAATATATATTTATATATGTATTAACTTTAATAAATATTGTTCCTCCTTTATCTGAAATATTTACACGGATATTTTTCTCCTTGATTTCATGCAATTTATACTGAAGAGAACTAATTTTTATCATTCAATAAAGTATATCTTTGAAGTTATAAAGTATGCGACTAAATGAAAATCTAGATCGACTTAAGATTAATCTATATTTGCAGTGTAATTAATTATTGTTTATTACTACTTGGTGAAACAAAATGGATTTCCAATAAAGCTTGCCTCCTTATAAATTAAAAACACATTTTTGCGTGTTTATGTTTTTATAATTCTACCAAAATGATGAATATTTTATTATCGAATTATTATTTCTTAGTGATAATAATAATCATTAATAATTCATTATTGGTTTTCTGTCAAAGAACATACCGTGAATTAATTACAGAACCAATTGCACTCACGCCTAAGGATAATCGAATTATCAATCATTCGGAGTTACCGTCGGTAAAAGATGAATTGTCAGTAACATTAAAAGTAAATATTGCGGCACATGGTCCTTCTTGGGCTACCATTTTTCATAAAGGTATTTTACATATGAGTACTAATTATTTATCTTTGAAAAATTCAGCAGTTACATATGTGAAATGTAAGTTTGTTTTTATTTTAGGAGGAGAAAACGGACGTACCCCTTCACTCTTTCTGACACCAAATACTTCACACGCACGTCCACGTTTCTCAATAACCGATAATTATAGTTTTGGGATTGATTCGATTGGTGATGGGCTTTTGCTTAACCGATGGTATCATATGGCATACACACTCTCAAATTCTGAAAGGCGGATGGATTTTATATTGATGGTGAATGGTTTGGATATTTAAGTATCATGTATGTTCAGGTTCAGAAAGTCTTATTCAATGATGCACCGTTATATATTGGAAATGATCTCGTAGAGGATGCAATTACTGGACAAATTAAGTATGTATATCTAGAGTTTATAATCAAATTTGTCGTGCAATTAATATTTAATTATTATTATTTTATAAAAAAAAAATTAGCAATTTTCGTTATTATAACTTTCGATTATCTCAAAAAGAAGTATTAATTGATTATATGGTAAGTCTTATTTTTAGATTTAATATATGAGCGGTTGCCATTATATCACATTTATAGATCGTATGGTTTATTACGTTTGTGACTCGAGCTTAATAGCAAACGAGCCATACTCTTATTCCAAATTACTCAACAATTATAGTTTTTAATTTAGGGGGAAGATCCAACAAAGAGTAATGAAATAATAACACCATCAAATGGAACCATAGCACCATCAAACGGAACAACAGTTTATGGATATTCATGTCCGGAAACAAGTGGAGTTTTAGCTGGTTCAATTATAGGATCATTTTTTTGTGGTATGATATTTGTAGCGATAGGTTTATTTCTACGTAAAAGTATAAAACGGAACAAATCTGATAATGATAATCATAGGACTAATAATCAAATAATCACATAGCCTTCACAAATAGGGTTACAATTTTGATAATAATTAACTAGCCAGTATTCTTTCTTCTAATAACCCCTTGTATTATCAAAATTATCAATACAAGTTGAAGCAATCCAAACTAAACGAAATTAACTAAAAAAATAATAATAAAGGGCTAAAGATTTTGAAAAAGAGAAATAGAATCATTGATCAATTGAGCCCTGAAGCCAAAAACTATAAAATCAAAAAATAAAAATAAAATTCTTAGTAATGAATTTTTCCATATTCAAACAAATCACGTGCAATAAGTAAATCTTAGAATCAAACCTGAGAAATGATTAATAATAATTAATCAACTCTAAAAGTAATTCTATTTTATTGTTATTTCTCTCTATGTTAAGCATTATAAAATAATTTTTTTTTTATTATAAAATTTTTTAATGCTTTTTATAATGAACTTTTGAAATTTTTTAAAAGTATTATCATATCAATTCACTAGTTTTGAATTTTTGTATAGTACTTTGTACCTCACATCACTTGTAAATATTAAAATAATAATATTTCTAAATATGTACAATCAGAAAAAAAGAATTAAATTAAATATTGAAAATACTTTGGTCAAACATTCCTTTTGTAAATGATCATTTTAAGTAATTTTCAAAAATGATGAATCAACATTAAAACAGATTTAAAAATTATGATATGATCAATTTTCATGATTATTTAAATATGAGCAGTAAAGAGGCTTATATTTAGAATATGGTTTATTATTTCTTATTAGTATTCATGATATTTTATTTTGTAGATAACTAAATATTTATTTTCAAATTTATAGCCAATGGTAATCAATATGAGTATTTCTAATCATACTTCTCAGCAGAGAAGGTCAAGACTGCTTAATGCTACTTAATTTTAAAAAATACTTTTTATGCTCAAATTAATATCCTCTAATGTATTTAAAAGCTTTTAAAATTAACAAATTTAATGCTACGTATTGTTTAGTGCATCTCAATAAATAAACTCAATTAATATAATTTGATGATATCATATGGTAAATTAAATATAATCTTAAAAATACAATAAAAATCAATAAAAAAATTTTTTTTTAATTTATTTAAACAAAATTAATTATATTAAAACAAAATAATACCTTTTAAATACTTTTATTTGATACTTTTTTTTATAAAGTATGGTAATTTCACGATATACATTATATTGATACAGTATTTAATAAATTACACAAATATAATATTCAAAAAAAACAAAAAAATTTGAGAA